ACTTCCTTGCTATGCAAGTATGAGAGAGAAGGGCATCAGATTGCTGCAGATAATGAAAAGCAGAAAATTCACCTGTCCAGAGCCATGGCAGGACCACTTGCCTTGGGAACATGGTTCCAACCCAGCTGAGCAACTTTCTCCTCCGGCATTCCACTCCCAACTGCAAGTGTCAGTGGTTACCCCAGCACATCAACAGAGTGAAAAATATTTGGCAACTATGCCCTCCGTGTCACAGGTTGCTAGAAAAAACTGAGTTTGTAAGGCCATACATTGGAGCAATGCTTTGCAAACTTTAACATGCATCCATATTATCTGGGGATCTTGTGAAAACACAGATTCTGAATCAGTAGGTCCAAAGTGAGGGCTGAGATCCTGCATTCCCAACAGGCTTGCAGGTGATACTGATGCTGATGCCCGAGGACCACACTCTAAGTAACAAGGCCAGTTGCTTGGCAAGGTTACATCAAGCAAGTAGAGAAAGTGATAGTAAAGTGAAATCATGGTAGAAATATCCCTGCAGATAAGAAGCAATAAAGTCAAAGATAAGAGGTACATGACCAGACTGGAAAAGAAGAATAGAAAAGGTAGTAAAAAGAAAGCTGATTTAAAAAAAAAAAAAAAAAGAATTAAAGATGAAAACATAAAAAGAGTTTTATAAATATTAGAGCTGGGCTAGTCTAGTAACCTTGAATTTGGTTAACAATACTTATACCAGAGACATTTGCAGCTAGCTATGCTTGGTGGGGATTTTCAAGTCCCTAGGCCAGCAGGATGATAGGAAAAAAATATTGACTCTGGCAGACAAGATCTTTCTCGCTGATCCTGGACATCTGGTCACTAAATCTTTCAGAAGGGCAGATTAGAGATGGTGAATTGAAAACCCCTCCAGCAGAGGCACCGATAGTGATTTTTAAATGAGTATGGAAGCCAGCCAATCTCTTGCCACAGGATCTGCAAAACTACATTACATATTCAGTGTTACAGTAGAAATGAAAGAAAAAAAATTACCAGATCGTATTTTTTCAACACCCTGAAGGGGTTACAAGGGCGGTAAAAAGTAAAATGAGGACAATTATTCACCCAAAATGCATCATGACTCAAACAGGTCAAGCAATCTTTAGTAAGGTAACTTCCATATCACATTAGGAAATCTGTGCCATAAGCTTAACATTGAAAACAAGTCCTGCATATCTTGATGATGTTGCTCATGGGATAATGACTTTCCAAGCTGAACATTTCACAGTCAGCCAACTTTATACTTAGTTCATGTGTATACCTTCATCAGGAACCAAGGGCAGGCCTGAACTCCATTCACAATTTGTCTTTCTGTAATAATATTGAAAAATTAAAGAAAAAAGGTTGGGGGAAGACAAGACAACATAAAAATCAAAGAACGGTCAGTCAACCCAGAGAAATCACCCAATGCCATCATCCCAACACCTAATGCTGTCACTAACAGGGGAAGCAGGTGACGAAATTTAATTAGTAACAGAATACAAGCTGTGGGTAAAACCTATTTTCCAATGGGAATGAGCTCTACTTAAATTGAATGCTGAAATGAAGTTACGTACTTTCTTATATATTCTGATTTTGCCTTCTCTGATTCAACTCGAAGGCTGAATACAGGCCTTGGCCTATTTTCTCTGAAGGAGCACAGTACAACATGATCCTGGGTTTGTCTTCCTGATCCTGCTCCTGTGCCACCCAATGGTGGGGACTCAGTGCCTGAGTCCGCTGAGAGGGTGGCCCTGCTCCCCTCCACCTCACTCCTACTCATCACCTCTGACGTTGGACCTTTATGGTGAAGATAAACAAGAAGATGAGCCATAAACTATATCCTCTCTTTCCCTCCTACTTTGTACCCCAGTAGAGGCAGCATGTGAGACAACCAGGGCATTCTGACCACCCAATCTCATGGCACACTCATAACTCAGTCCTTGATTCATATATAAAACTGATCAGTAGGCATGGCCTCAAAATCCAAAAAAATAATAATAATAATATACAGTGGATTCTACCATGGCAAGTAGGGAGCATCAAGAAGTGAAGCTGTGGTAGAAGGGTGTGGAGAGTGAGCACGAGCCCTGTGATCTGGCCTGAGGGTCTCGGTTCTGCTGCTGAGCAGCTTTGACAAAAGTGCACAGTATACTACTTCTCGGAGCTTCTGTTTTCTCATCTGAGAATAGAGATAATAATGCGGATATCGCAAGCATTTGAGGATCAGGTGACTGCATTTGAAAAAGGCTGATGCTTGGCCACTTGCCGTACGACGTTTTTAAAAGGAGTCTGGTGCAGGAAACAAAACTGGACAGGTGTTTACAATTGACTCGACAAGTGTTCACTTGCCATTTCTGTTTAAAAAGTCATCTTCGTCTTGAGATTTTCTCCTTTAACAGACAAAAATGTCCATAACTTTTCTCTGATGTTCTACATGCCTTTGAGACTATTCTTAATTATTTAGGCCCTTATAGCTAAGGCCATTGTATTTTTTCTTAGATCTTTTAACATTTTCTATTTGAGAATTTATCAACCTTAGGATTTCTATGAACATGTTTGATGGAGTAAATTAACGATTCTTGTCAGAGGTTAGATGTCCTCTTATCTAGTATATGAATTAAACTCTACTTGTAAAATGATGAGATTTTCTTTCTTATTATTACTCAAAAACAGAACAATTCTTCCTTCTTTCCCTGCCATACCCTCACAGATGGTGAATCCCAGTTCCTCCACCTCCTCCCAAGCACCGAGATAGCTCTGAACAGATTGTGAAGCCTGCTTTGGGGAAGGAAACCAGCAAGTCCCAGCCTCGTGGCTTAAGCAGGGATTCAGGCACTCGTGCAGGAGGCCATGATTGCCAGCAAAGCACCAGGCACGCTGCTGGTGGCTCTGCGACAGAAGCGACACAGCACGCCTCCAGCGTCCAACACGTGGCATTCCCTCAGGCCGGCCTGCTTGCCCCCACAACCCTCATCCTCCGTCCCCATCTGGTCGCTCTTCACAACAGCTCTGCTGACTTCATGCTCAATGTCTTGGGCCTTCCTGCTGTGGGCCATGGGACCTTATTTAGAGCCATTTCTTCCCACCAAGGAGTTAATCATATGTGTTTTCAACAATACAACCATCTGGGCATCTGACACCAGTCACCAAGTAATTAGTGGGAAATGTTGCAACATAGCCAGGGATATTTAATAAATATTTCTTGAATGAATTAAGGAGGCTCAGCAACTCCACATTTGCTCACACCAGAAGAGTATAATGGAGAAGCTTCTTGTACTTCTCTGGGCCCCTCCTAAGTACCTTTAGAGGGCTCCGTTCCTCTGACCACACTAGAAAAGTTCTATATAGTAACCCTAGTGTCCTGTCCTTGGGGGACTAATCTCAATCTCCCCACTCCTCCTCAGAAATCTCATCCCTTATCTCTGCTCAAAGCACCATTTGCATTTCAATAATTGCCAATATCTATTTCTAGCTCACAGCACTTCCCCCAGCAGACCTGGAAATCAAACTTTCTAATGGTCATTCCCATCAGATATCCACAGGCACCTCAAACTTAGCATATCCAACACTGAATTCTTTTTTTTTTTTTTTAGAGTCAGGTTCTCATTCTGTCACCCAGGCTGGAGTGCAGTGGCGCAATCATAGCTCACTTCAGCCTCGAACTCCTAGGCTCAAGTGATCCTCCTGCTTCAGCCTCCCCAGTAGCTGGAGTTAAAGGCATGCACCAACACACCCAGCTAATTTCTTTTTATGTTTTAAAGACAGGGTCTCACTGTGTTGCCCAGGCTGGTGAATTCATTATTTGATCCCTGATGTGTTCTTCCACCTTAATGTTCTGTCTCAGTTGGTGGCCTCACCATCCACCCTGAAAATCCTGGGAATAGTCCTCAACTTCTCTATCTCCTGCCTCCACTCCCATGCAATCAGTTTCCAAGTTCTGTTGGTTTTACTTGCTAAGTCTTATTTGACTCTGTCCTTTCTCTTCCCTTCCAGTTTCCCCAGTTCTGCCTCTGGTCCTCATCCTCTCTAGTCTGGAGTGTTGCATTAACCCCTAACTAGTCTTCCTGGCTTCTTCCTTCAAGTCCCACAGAGAAGTAAGAGTGAGTTTGTGAGTTACATAAACACAGACCTGATTCTATCAGTCCTTTGTTTGAAAATCATCAAATAGCTCCTTTTCAATTAACTGTAAAGCTCACAGCAGGGGTTTATGGTTATATACAACATAACTTCCTGGTTACACACAACATAACTCCCTAAACTATCAGTTTTTCTCAAAGACTTGGATGGGCAAACTTCATTTTTATTAAAAAACAAACAAACAAACAAAAACCACCATTGTATAACAGAATACAATGCAGAATTTGCACTAAGTTTAATTATAACATTTGGAAACTGAAAGTCCAATGCCTTAATGGCCCATATCTATGACAGCATAACTTCAACCCCTCCCTCCTCCCCCTCCTTCCCCCAATAAGTCCTATTTGTGATTTCTTGTCATTCCCAAGGGATGTCTCCCATGTGTTCCATAGCAGCCAGGAGTTTCACACACTTCATTTTCTATGGTAGTCCCAGAGTCTAGAATAAGATTTGGCACACAGTAGGCACTCAATAAATATTTATTGAGTACATAAATGAAGCCACAACCAATCTGCCAGCTGACATCACCATGAGGCTAGATGTGCTTTCTCTTCGGCTCTGTGATATGGTTTGGGTTTCATCTCCTCCAAATGTCATGTTGAATTGTCATCCCCAGTGTTGGAGGTGGGGCCTGGCGGGAAGTGTTTGGGTCATGGGAGGGGATCCCTCATGAACATTTTGGTGCTGTCCTTGCAGTAATGAGTGAGTTCTTGCTCTGAGTTCACACTGGTTGTTAAAAAGAGTATGGTACCACCCCCCGCCCCCGCGTCTTGCTCCCTCTCTCACCATGTGAGATGTCTGCTCTCGCTTCACCTTCCATCATGAGTGAAAGCTCCCTGAGGCTTCATGAGAAGCTGAGCAGATGCTGGGCGCCATGCTTCCTGTACAGCCTGCAGAACCATAAGTCAATTAAACTTCTTTTCTTTATAAATTACCCAGCCTCAGGTGTTTCTTTATAGCAATGCAAAAACAGACTAACACATGCTGTTTCCCACTTTTCCACCTCTGCAGCCTGCTCAGCCACTCAGAGAAACATCCTAGCTGCCACCCAGCATCGAGGTTACACCATTGTCCATGCCAAAGGACGTGACAGAATAAAGCTGGATTTATGCAGATGCAGAAAAATGGTCACCTAAGCTCTAAAACAGATCTGTTTGTGCCTACAGTCCCAAACACCCTTGGGATCTCACCAGTTCCTGGCTAACTCTCTTTATAGGCAGCTCAGAGTCAATCCACAGGATCCTGTAGACCCCATACCAAATGTCATCTCTCCACAACCTGTTATAAAGTAATGACAGCCACACATAACAATGGCAACAAACATCCTGAAGGAAGCTGTAAACCAAACATGCCTACTATGAGTATAAAACTAAAAAGAAATTCCATGATTTGGGCAAGCACTTCCACAATTTGGAGAGTTTCTCTGGAAAACTACTCGGCCTCTAGACCTCAAGCTTAAGTGTTCCCTCTTTAAGGAAGCATCTGATCCTTTACATTCCCATCCAAAACTACCCATTCCCTCAAAAACTAGTGCCTACTTCTGCTACCACAGGGTGCAGCCTCGAGTTTGTGGGGCCTGAACCTAGTACAATTTTCAAGACCCTCTTTAAGCAAAAGAATACAAAATTACAAATATAAAATTAGAATGCCAAGATAATATTATTTATAAAGAGAAAAATTAATACAAATTTTCAAAATCTGAAAAATATACTACCTATCCAAAATATAGAAAAAAACACATCATATTTCATTAATTAATGACCTGATTTCTCTAGAATACCTTTCCTACCTGTTTTCCTACTTGTTGGTTGCATACTCTTTATCATCTCTTCAACAATAATTTTGTAATATTACTTTCCATAGAGAGAGGAGAAATAGAATTCGGTCTTTCCTATGCTACAGTTGATCAGAATTTTTTTATTATTGATAGTTGGGCTTTGTAAAACATGCTACTTTATACACAGACAAAATCTCTGTATTGTTACACAGAATTTCTGATAAATTCTACTTCACATGATTCTTATCAAAAATACATGGTTGTCATTATGTATGAAAGATCTCCCATTAAAACTGAAGATAAATGAGAATCAAAGCCTTTGCTTACCGTTTTACACATTGAATGATGGGAAGAATTTTCCAAGGATGAACTTCTGGCTCCATACATGTTCAATCTTGTTTTGTCTCTACCCACTTTCTTTTTGAGCTAGGAGTGTGGAATGTATTCACGTCAGGTTACAAACTCGCCCTGCACTGTCATGTCCCAATGCCAGGTGAGTTGGCACAATGATCAATGCAAGAATTCCTAGAAGACATTTCTAACCCAAGATGATTAACAATAGCTTCAATATACATGGAAGCAACTGAAAAACACATAAACATATCCCACTAAGTCCAAACAAAATGCATCCTCAACTCAATTCCCCTTACTGAAATCCCAAAAACGCCCACTGCTACTCTTATGTTATTTAACATAAGCAGAAGTGAGATTCATGGGAAGTCAGAGTAGAGAGAAAGCGTGCTCTTACCTGAGTGTGATTAAAACAGCTAACATTTGCATATTTTACAAAAACATATGACCATGTGAACACTTTGCCAGGGCCTTGGAATAGGCCCAGGGAGTGAGAGTTCTGAAGCTTAAGCTTCATTAACTTCACAGAAAAATCCATTTCTAATCACTGCCTTTACCAGATTGCATATTAATTAATTAATGATGATAGCTGGGAAATGATGGTTAATGAAAAGGAAGAAGGCAGGCAGATCTCGCAGAAACTGCAGGATTTTGAATGAATAGAGACTATTCATTTCAAGACTGCAATTTCAAGACACATAGTGTTGTGGATGCTGGGGGGGAGCAATAGGATGTGCAGGAGGAGATGCAGAAGCCCCTGGAGGAGATGTTGAAGACCCTGCAGCAGATGGGGGAAGTCGTGGGTTTAATTCAGGGCAAGGTGCAGTGAGGATGCTGACTGGGAAGGCACTGAACATGACTCCTGATTGTGTCTCTAAGGCTAAGGAGTTTCTACCAAAGGCTATGAAGTTGGAGCCTGAGCTGGTGGAAGCCTGAAACCAGCTGGGTGACGAGTACTGGAGAAAAGGGGGTATTGCAGCTGCAAGAATAATGTCTCCCTGCAAAACCTATCAACAGTGCTTCACCAGCTGTGGACTAACACTGGAGATGAACATGTTTATGGACAGCGACCAATAGGCTAAATTGGCTGTGAAGGTGAACGTGCACCATGGCCGTTCCTAGCATATTCTGGAGAATGCATACTTTTCTCTTCACTTCAATATCAGTCAGAATCCTAAGGTGTTCCAGAAAGCCTCTGCCTAGGTCCAAGCAGAGAAGGTTGACAGGACAGCTTCCAGCGATTCTGACCTTCATCAAAACAGAGTGATGTTACAGAAACATGAATGAGTAATGAGAAGATCCTGGGGACTTCCCTTGAACTGCAACACTGGACCCTGCCTGGCCAGAGCCCTGGCAACAAGAGCAACTCCTGGAATCCCTGGAGAGAGGAGCCAGCCTCCTTGATAGCAAGGGAAGGATGAAGAACAAAAAGCTACAGAGCTAAGAAGCTTGCACTCAGCCCATTTAGGCCCTTGTGGTGATGGGTGCTGCCCAGTCAGCCTCTGGACAGAAGATGACCCCAGAGCTCAAGCTACTGAGCATGCTACATTGTGTCTTAGTCCGTTCAGGTTGCTATAACAAAATACCTTAGACAGTTTTGGAGACTGGGAAGGCTAAGATCAAGACACCACCAGATTTGATGACTAGTAAGGGCCCTTTCCTCACAGACGTTATCTTCACGCTGCACCCTCAGTTAGTGGAAGAAGCAAACAAGCTCCCTTGGGTCTCTGTTATAAGAGTACTAATCTCATTTATGAGGATTCCATTGTCATCATCTAATCACTTCCCAAGGCTCCACCTCTTAATATTATCACTTCAAGGGTTAGGACTTCAACATATGAATTTGGTGGGGGACACATTCAGACTATAGCATACATTTTCAGTATATTTACTTATTCAGCATCAATTTAGTGAGTTCCTACTATATACCAGGTGTTGTGTGTTAGGGCCTAGGATTTCTACTAGGAGTTAAATCAGGCATAATCCCCAGTCACATGGAATATAGAGCCACAGGGAGGACACAGACATTGATTAAATTATCACACTAATAGCAGGATGATTACAAACTGAGGTAAGTGCTGAGAAGGAAAGAATCAAGCTCCATGATGAAGGATCTTGGCCTATTAGTTGGTTAAAGATAGCTTCTATACAAAACAAGACACATGAATCTGAGGTTTGAAGGATGAAAAAGAAGGAACTAGTTGAAGATGATCAGCTTTCAAAAACAGCATCCAAACAGAGGAACAGCCTGTACAAAACTGCTGTGGTAAGAAGGAGCTGGAAATTATCTGTTGCTTTTCCTAATCCACTCTCTACCCTTCTTTACCCTGCCTTGCACCCCAAAAGGTTAATCTCTAGCTATCAACCATATATTTGGCCCTCTGGCTTCTTACTTTTAGTCAATTGTTTAGGGCATTTATTTTCCTGATTGGCCTTGGGTTGGCTATAGCTGTGATCTTCTTTCTAAGGCACAGTTCCAATTGGGTAAAGTTACTCAAAAAGCTTTATCCTATAGCTACAGCTAGCGGCATCTCAGGGATCTGTAATTATTCCTGCCTCTTGTATCTACAGGGACCTAAGTTCTTGGTAACTAAGCTTTCAGATGCTTCATCATCTCCTATTGACTTCCCTTAACCTTTCCCATATCCTTGTAAATAGTCCCTCATAACTCTCCTGGGTTACACTATTTGAATGCACCAGCTAGTTCCTGCTGGAAATGTGATATATGATTATCCCTCAGTATTGTGGAAGATTGGTTCCAGGACTCCTCAAAGATACCAAAATCCAAGGATGCTCAAGTCTCTAATGTAAAATAGTGTGATATTTGCACATAACCTATGCACATCCTCCTATATACTTTAAATCATCTCTAGATTACTTATAATACATAATACAATGTAAATAGTTGTAATACTATATTGTTTAGGAAATAACGACAAGAAAAAAAAGTCTACATATTCAGAACAGATGCTTTTCTTGCCCAAATATTTTCAGTCTGACATTGGCTGAATGCAGTAGCATGGAACCCACAGATACAAAGGGTGTACTGTAATACATGTAAGAAACCAAAAGAAGAAGGTTATGTGAAATGGAAAGTGTGGTACAAGATGTGGCTGCAAATCTCCCCAGGAACCAGACTGTCTAGAGCCTTCTAAGTCATTTTGAGAATGTGGATGTTTATCCTAAGAGCAATGCACTAACATTGAAGAGTTTAAAGCAGAAGAGACATAAGAAGGTTTGCTGTTTTGACCAAAGCTAGACTAGAGTGGGTTGAGAAGTAAGTGGGAAGTGAGAAAATGGCAATAGCAAGAATTGTTATCATTCATAAGAAGTTTGGTTTTGAAAGAAGGAAAGCTTTAAGACAGAAATTGGATAAGGAATATATGACCAATTGAGAGTTTTATTAAAAGATAAAGGAGAAAGAGAATGGGAATGTAGGAAGGAATGTAAATTCCAGGTAGGAGAATGCAGTAGAATGTGCGTGAAATAAATATAGAGAGGGTTAGAGTTAGAAGGCAGGAAAAGGCACAGATGATGGCACTGGCCATAAATAGACAGAGAAGCCCCTGTTCTGGTGTAAAAGAGAAGAAGATGGATGCAAACAGAAGCCTTTGCATTTGCATAATTGTTGGGTAGCAGGAAATTGATGGTGGCTTTCCGTCGATTCACTTCAACTTTCTTTGTAAGACAGAAGGAAAAGTTATTCATGTCCAGCATCAGAGAAAAAGTTGGGGTGAGGTGGGGAGAGTCCAGAGATAGCAGTGAAGACAGTTTGAAATGTTTGCTGTTAGAAATGGAAGTGCAACTTGGATCAGAAGGTTGTAGTAGGAGTGTCATGCAGCTTTGAGAACACCTTTGAGTTTCAATATTGACATGAATGTTCTCCTTCCCCACTCTATTTTATGCCTGCTAAGCCCATGAGATTTAAGTGGATCTAGCCTGGACTGTGATGCTACACTTAGACATAGGACAAAGAATTGAATTATTGGTCCAGGGATGATATGGTTTGGCTGTATCCCCACCCAAATCTCATCTTGAATTGTAGTTCCCATAATCCCCATGTGTCATGGGAGGGACCTGGTGGGAAGTGATTGAATCATGGGGCCAGTTACCTCCAGGCTGTTCTTGTGATAGTGAGTTCTCACAAAACCTGATGGCTTTATAAGGGGCTCCCCACCACCCCCACCTTAGCTCTCCACTTCTCCTTGTTGCCACCACGTAAAGAAGGACATGTTTCTTTCCCCTTCCACCATGATTGTAAGTTTCCTGAGGCCTCCCCAGCCATGCTGAACTGTGAGCCAATTAACCCTCTTTCCTTTATAAATTATCGAGCCTTAGAAATGTCTTTATTAGCAGCATAAGAACGGACTAATACAAGGGATAAGCACATGACCCAAGCTAGGCCATTCCAAGTCAGGCCTGAAATTTTCATTACCATTATCACAAAGGATGTTCTTTCCCTCCCACTGGTATTAAAAGTATAAAGAAGCCAAATGCGGTGGCTCACGCCTGTAATCGCAGCACTTTGGCAGGCTGAGGTGGGGGGATCACCTGAGGTCAGGAGTTCGAGACCAGCCTGGCCAATATGATGAAAACCTGTCTCTGCCAAAAATACAAAAAATAATAATAATAATAGCAGGGCATGGTGGCAGGCACTTGTTATCCCAGCTACTCAGGAGGCTGAGGCAGGAGAATCACTTGAACCTGGGAGGCGGAGGTTGCAGAGAGCCGAGATCATACCACCGCACTCCAGCCTAGGCAACAGGAATGAAACTCCATCTCAAACTTCAGCAAAGTCTCAGGATACAAAATTAATGTGCAAAAATCACAAGCATTCTTATACACCAGTAACAGACAAACAGAGACCCAAATAATGAATGAACTTCCATTCACAATTGCTTCAAAGAGAATAAAATACCTAGGAATCCAACTTACAAGGGATGTAAAGGACCTCTTCAAGGAGAACTACAAACCACTGCTCAGTGAAATCAAAGAGGACACAAACAAATGGAAGAACATACCATGCTCATGGATAGGAAGAATCGATATCGTGAAAATGGCCATACTGCCCAAGGTTATTTATAGATTCAATGCCATCCCCATCAAGCTACCAATGAGTTTCTTCACGGAATTGGAAAAAACTGCTTTAAAGTTCATATGGAACCAAAAAAGAGCCCGCATTGCCAAGACAATCCTAAGTCAAAAGAACAAAGCTGGAGGCATCACACTACCTGACTTCAAACTATACTACAAGGCTACAGTAACCAAAACAACATGGTACTGGTACCAAAACAGAGATATAGACCAATGGAACAGAACAGAGTCCTCAGAAATAATACCACACATCTACAGCCATCTGATCTTTGACAAACCTGACAAAAACAAGAAATGGGGAAAGGATTCCCTATTTAATAAATGGTGCTGGGAAAATTGGCTAGCCATAAGTAGAAAGATGAAACTGGATCCTTTCCTTACTCCTTATATGAAAATTAATTCAAGATGGATTAGAGACTTAAATGTTAGACCTAATACCATCAAAACCCTAGAAGAAAACCTAGGTAGTACCATTCAGGACATAGGCATGGGCAAAGACTTCATGTCTAAAACACCAAAAGCAATGGCAGCAAAAGCCAAAATTGACAAATGGGATCTCATTAAACTAAAGAGCTTCTGCACAGCAAAAGAAACTACCATCAGAGTGAACAGGCAACCTACAGAATGGGAGAAAATTTTTGCAATCTACTCATCTGACAAAGGGCTAATATCCAGAACCTACAAAGAACTCAAACAAATTTACAAGAAAAAAACAAACAACCCCATCAAAAAGTGGGCAAAGGATATGAACAGACATTTCTCAAAAGAAGACATTCATACAGCCAACAGACACATGAAAAAATGCTCATCATCACTGGCCATCAGAGAAATGCAAATCAAAACCACAATCAGATACCATCTCACACCAGTTAGAATGGCGATCATTAAAAAGTCAGGAAACAACAGGTGCTGGAGAGGATGTGGAGAAATAGGAACACTTTTATACTGTTGGTGGGATTGTAAACTAGTTCAACCATTATGGAAAACAGTATGGCGATTCCTCAAGGATCTAGAACTAGATGTACCATATGACCCAGCCATCCCATTACTGGGTATATACCCAAAGGATTATAAATCATGCTGCTATAAAGACACATGCACACGTATGTTTATTGCGGCACTATTCACAATAGCAAAGACTTGGAATCAACCCAAATGTCCATCAGTGACAGATTGGATTAAGAAAATGTGGCACATATACACCATGGAATACTATGCAGCCATAAAAAAGGATGAGTTTGTGTCCTTTGTAGGGACATGGATGCAGCTGGAAACCATCATTCTTAGCAAACTATCACAAGA